TGTCTGTGGTCACACAGCAGCAGGAAAGCTGAGTAGTTGTGTCAGTAACCAGGTGGCTTGCAGCACTCCTCGGCCCTTCACAGGAGGTCTGCTGACCCCCTGCCCCCCAGAAGGGATGGGGGTGGTGGTGAAGATTCGGGGATCTGAGGACACGAAATAGGGGAAGTGGCCCTGCGAGACAGCGCTCCCTCAGACAGCAGACTGGGGATCCGGGCAGACAGTTGCCCAGACCCACCAGGTGAGGGCTGTGTCTGAGACTTAAGTTGATGCCACATGGAATGCCCAGTGTGTTCACCCCTTTCTGTGCCTCCGCTACTCCTCCAGATGGGTGATCTACAACGACCAGAAAGTGTGTGCCTCCGAGAAGCCGCCTAAGGACCTGGGCTACATCTACTTCTACCAGAGAGTGGCCAGCTAAGAGCCCGCCCGCACCCCTTACGCTGAGGGCGGGGACTGGCCACCTGGCATGAGGGACAGGGGCTGCGGGATGGACTTGCGCCCCCCTGCTCTGTACCCTTTTTCTTTTTGTCCCCAGCAGCTGGAAGAAAGCTGGAGGCCACAGGAGCATGGCCAAGCCGAGAGGAGGGGCACTCTAGACTCGGGGGATAGAGCAGGGAGGGGACAGGAGGGGGCTGCCCGCCTGTCTGTCAGAGTCTTTGTTGCTTCCCGGCCCTTGAATCCAGTGCTCTGCTTCTCTGTGTCACCCTGCCCAGGCCCCTGGTGTGGAGGGGAGGGTCTTGTGTGTGTGCGTGCGTGTGAGTGTCCGTGCGTGAGAGTGTGGGTGGGTGGGTGTGGGTGTAGCTTGTGCATCCCTTCCAGGGGGTGGGGGCCTGTGACTCCCCTCCCCCTTTGTGTTTGCCCCTGTGCGGTTGGGCAAGGAGGGATATGAGGGACATGGGGACCCCCCCCTTGCCCTCCTGCCTCAGTCCTCCATCCTGTCTTTTCCCTGTCCTTCTGTGGAAAATGCCAAAATACACGATGTGAATAAAAGTACAGTGGCTAAACTGTGGCCGGTCTGATAGCTGGGGGAGCTCGTCGCCGCGTGCCCTTCCGTGTGCTGCACAGACAGCTCTGCTTTTCTCTAGTCGCAGAGCTCTGGGGAAATGGAGAATGGGCAAGTGCAGAGCACTAAGCCAAGGGGAGAGGAGGGTGAAGAGCCCTTCTGGCAGCCACGTAGAAGGGGGTCCAAGCAGCCCCCAAATGCCCCCAGGGCCCAGCGGGTTCTCAGCTTGGGGCCTCAGCCCCTGGCTGGCCTTGGCCAGCTAGAACCAAGAGGGGGCCGGGGGGCCCCTGCGGGTGGGGGCTACTGCAGCTTCGAAACCACCTCTTGGCGGCGTGGGCTCCCCCCCCCCCCCCCCGCCTCCGCAGCCCTCCTGGGGCGCCTGTGACGAGCTGGATGGAGCTGCTCTGATAGAGCCAGAGGGTTCTCTGTCCCAGAGCTGGAGATGCACCCTCAGCGCTTTTCTCAGCCCCACTGAGCAATGTGGTCTGAGCGAGGCCAAGTTGGAGCCGCCGCTGGGCCTCTGGGCGGCTGAGGTCGTCAGTGGGTCCCCCCGGTCGCAGGAGTTCTCCGTTCCGCTTTCTCCCGAAGTCGGGCAATCTCTGCAGAAGCGCCTGAACAAGCCCCCGGACGCCCCCAGAATGTTGCTAGGAGAAGGGGAGACGACGTCAGAGCCCTGCGCCAGCAGGCGGGCTGGAGGGCGGGCTGAGAGGCAGGGGCGGGTCCGCCATGGCGGGGACGGGGCAGGAGGCGGAGTTCCGCTTCTCGGCTTTCTATATAAGCCGGCAGCGGCCGCAGCCGCGGCCGCACGGCGGGACTGACCTTCAGTGTGCGGGCCCGAGCGCCATGGCGCCCTCCAGGAAATTCTTCGTTGGGGGCAACTGGAAGATGAACGGAAGGAAGAAGAACCTGGGGGAGCTCATCACCACCCTGAACGCAGCCAAGGTGCCGGCCGACACCGGTGAGGCCTCGCAGAAAGGGTCGGGCTGGGGGAGTCCGGCATCCGCGTGGACCTGGGTGCAGGGCTGGGGACCAGGGCGGTTGGGTGTCCAGGCCTTGGCCCCCGGCACAGCGGCCCGCCAGCCGCGATGCCAGAAGGGGAGAAGCGGGGCATTTCACAGTGACCGCGGGCTGCGGGGGCCCCAAAGGACTCCTCAGGTCCCTGAGAGAAGATGGCCCCGGGGCGCGGGCTGGGGCTGCACCAGCCAGGCTCAGGGGGGTAGGAACGGAGCTTGAGCCTCTGGGCGATAGGGAGAAGCAAGCTGCAAGCCCCCGCGCGGGGGTCGGGCCTGGGCTTGCGCGGGCCTCCAGCCCCCTGCTCCTGGGCGCCGGCACCGTGCGCCGCTGCACGTAGCCCGAGACTCCTCCCCGCCCCGCCGAGGCCTCTGCGCCCAGCCACTCCGATCCCTTCCCCTCTGCTGCCTGAGCGGCTTCTGCTTTCCAAAGGAGGGCCCGAGCCGTTTGGGAGCGAGGAGCTGGCCTACAGCCTTCCCCAGCTTGGAAGGGGGAAAGCGCAAGGCCGCTGTGGGCTCATCAGCGCCCTGCGGCAGGGGCAGAGCGCGAGCCTCCATCCTTGCCCATTCACCCGCCCGAATCACGGAACCACGGGTCTCATCCAAGAGGCATCCCTTCCTGGTTTCTTCCCCAAAGACCCCAGTGCAAACCCGAGGAGTTGGACCCTTTCCCTTTTGCCAAGAAATCCTTGCCTTGCTGGGCAAAGTAGGGGTGGGCTATTTTAGAAGGGAGGCAGGGCTGGCCCCAGAGAATGCTGAGTCTGGGAGGTGCCCATGCCCAGAATAGCCTGAGGAAATTGGAGCCACAGCTGTTAAAGAGCAGAGGGCAGGGTGAGGGCCGCGGCCCGACAGGGGCATCTGGAAAGCTGCAGGAGTTGGGTGCAGGCCTAGCTGGCTGGGAAGTGGGCAAAGGTCATCTTGCTAGAGTGGAGAGGGAGGGAAGCAGAACCAAGGAGGCCAGGAGTCTGCAGAGGGAAGGCTTCCTCTGATCTGATCCTGTGCCCCCTCTCGTCCTCAGAGGTGGTTTGTGCACCCCCCACTGCCTACATTGACTTTGCCCGGCAGAAACTGGATCCCAAGATTGCTGTGGCTGCACAGAACTGCTACAAAGTGACTAACGGGGCCTTCACTGGGGAGATCAGGTGAGGTGGAGGCAGAGAGGGGGGAGTCTGGGGACCACTCCCTCACTTTGCTCATTGAGGGCAAAGCCACAGGGTGTGGCTCCCTGCTGACCGGTGGCCTTCTGTCTTCTTTAGCCCTGGCATGATCAAAGACTGTGGAGCCACGTGGGTGGTCCTGGGCCACTCTGAGAGGAGGCATGTCTTTGGGGAATCAGATGAGGTTAGTAGCCAGGAGAAGAGGTAAGAGATGCCTTATCCCAGGAGGAATGCCTCACCACGTCTGTTCCTTGACAGCTGATTGGGCAGAAAGTGGCCCACGCCCTGTCAGAGGGCCTCGGCGTGATCGCCTGCATCGGGGAGAAGCTGGATGAAAGGGAGGCTGGCATCACGGAGAAGGTCGTGTTTGAGCAAACCAAGGTCATCGCAGGTACCTCTGGGGAGGGGCCCTCCGAGCCTCGTCCGGGGCCACAGCCACAGAGGGTGGGGTGAGATACCTGGGCCTGACTTGATCCCCATGCTGGCTCAGGAAAGGAAAAGAGGAGATTCCTTGCCAGGGGCCTTAGCATTTCTGCTCCTCCCCCTGAAAGTCTAGGTGCTGCCTGGAGGTCCTCCAGCAGCCACCAGGGAGCAGTAGACCCTCATCACTGTGCATACTCTGGGGCGCTGGGCGGGGTGCTCCCCCTGCCCGCCCTTCCCTCCATCTCTGCTCTCTGTCCTCAGATAACGTAAAGGACTGGAGCAAGGTTGTCCTGGCCTATGAGCCTGTGTGGGCCATCGGAACTGGCAAGACTGCAACACCCCAACAGGTAACCTAGCCCTGGAGCCCTGGCCTCTCCTGTCTTGCATTAGAGTCACCCAGGGCAGCCCCTCGTTTGAAAGATGAGGAGAATCGAGTTGCCCAGGGTCTCCGTCGCAGGGCCTCCCTAGCACTGAAGGCCTGGGACCCTGACTCAGATCCCAGGGCTCCTGCCTGGAAACCACATGAACTGTCTCCACTCTGCTAGGGATGTTTTTCCTTAGAGCAAGAGGCATTGGAAATGGAATGGGTGTTACCTAGTCTGGCTTCTTGTTCCAGGCCCAGGAAGTCCATGAGAAGCTCCGAGGGTGGCTCAAGTCCAACGTCTCTGACGCTGTGGCTCAGAGTACCCGCATCATCTACGGAGGTGAGCGGGGCCGGCTCCAGCCTTGGGTGGAGTGGGCTCAGGCCTAGACTGATCCCTGCTTAGACATGCAGATCCCAACCAAGCTCTCTGCTCCCCTCCCAGGTTCTGTGACTGGAGCAACCTGCAAGGAACTGGCAAGCCAGCCTGACGTGGATGGCTTCCTTGTGGGAGGTGCTTCCCTCAAACCTGAATTCGTGGACATCATCAATGCCAAACAATAAGCCCCATCCATCTCCCCTGCCCCCCCTGCTACGCCAAGAACCAGGTAGCCCAGTAACGGCCCCTAGGCTGCACACGCTTCTCATGGTGTCGTCTGCCCCCTCTCTTGGCCTAATCCAAACTGTACCTTCCTCTGCCCTTTACATCTTCCCCTTGTAAGGGTTGGGACCAGGCCAATCACTCGTCCACTTACTACAGTGATTAGAACTAAACATGTCACCGAGATGGCTTCTCCTTGGCTGAGAGGCAGGAGGGGTGGGGCTTGCTCCCGGGCCCCCTCCATCCCCAGTGAGGGCAGGAGAGAGGCCATCCTCCTGTCCCCTCCCACGCCATGAGGCCAGGACGCTGCCCTCTTCCGTGGTGCCGATGCCTGTGTGTGTTGTGTGTGAGCCACCCACGTGTGAGGGAAATAAACACCCAGCACAGAGCTTGGTGCGTCCTCCTTCACTGCCCTTGCAAAAGAAAAAAGAAAACCATGAACGGGTTTCTATAATAATACATTCCATGTTGTATTTCCTTGAAAAAAAATGTCTTGCACAGCAGGCTGCCACAGCCCTGAATATGTTTCCTCCCCAGAGCCTGGGTTGGGTAGGGGTCCAGCCTCCCCTCCCCCGGCCACACTGGCTGGAAGCAGCTCTAGGCCTGTGGTGCCTGCTGACCCCCCCCCCCCGGGGGGGGGGGGCAGGGGTGGTGGCAAGGCTCCTTCAGTCTGGTCGTCAGGGGTCACTGGTAGAGCAGGTAGCGCTTCATGGCAGGGGGCAAGGGCAGAGCAGATACGTGGCCGAGCCGGCCATGCCCCAGGGTGTGGCGCACACACAGGCGGCTCAGGTGCAGAAGGGAGTGTGGCTCCGCTGGGGAAGAGAAGGAAGCGAAGGTAAGTAGGTGTGCGGCCATGAGCCAGACACCCTCAACTACAGGGGCTTCCCAACCCCCACCCCTCCTGCTCTGAGCCTGCCCCTACCTTGGCTAAGGGCAGGGAGCTAAGGCACCCAGGAGTTTTGTGTCACAGCTGGGAGGGAAGCTCCAGCTAAGCAACAGGCCAAGGTGGCTTTGATTCCAGACAGACCTTGGAGCGGGATGGATGGCCCTCGCTCTATGGTGGCTCTCCATGGGGGACAGGGGGACAGGTCCCCCTCTGCTGAAGGCTGTGGTCACAGAGCCACGGCCCAGCCCCGGCCCGGGTCAGTTCCCAAAGAGGTTCCTCCCCTGCAGCCCCACCCCCCAAGGTCCTGCCTCATCGGCTGGGCCCAGGGCCCTTGTGGCTCCATCTCAGGGTTTGAGGAAGTAGGTATGTGGCTCAGAGCCCAGGGAATCAGGTACACCTGGGTGCCCTGGCACTGCCAACCCTTGTCCTTTTGGACCAGTGCACCTAGCCCAACACCCAGGTAACCCTGGGAGGGGCTGGCACATTCGTAGTACCTTCCTCGTCCCGAGAGGTCCTTACTAGCCACGAGAACTTGAGCAAGGTGCTTTCCAGAGCCTCAGCCTCACCTGTGCTGCTGTCAGATTACATTAGGTGACAGCTCGGACAACCCTCAGCTGCTCCTTGGCACGGAACAGGGATGGGGCAGGTCATATGATGGCCCTCCACTCGTTCTACTTTGGAGTTTCCACCCAAACCACTGCCACCGGTACCAGGATCCTCTCCCCACACCCGCCCCAGGCCTCACCTCTCCTTTCGCCCAGGTAGCGGATGCGGACCTGGCACTGGCCCCAGACGGCGCTTACTGCCGGATACAGGGTCCTGCCCTTCAGTCCTTGGAAGGCTGGCCCCAGGTAGGTGCCCCCAATAGCGTAGCCCAGAGTCCCCTTCTCCATGTCCAGAACCACCAGCAGCCTCTCTGGCACCTCCAGCTGCTCACCCTGAAGTCCGGCGGGATACTGGGGGGCCCCGGGCCCCTTGCTCTGATGGTACAGCTTCCCTCGCCCGATGTCCCAGCCCCATGACTCGCTGTTGCTGCCCAGCAGCGCCGCATAGTGGTCGGCCTGCAGCGGGGCAAGGGCCGTGGCCACGCCCACCACGGCGTGGGTGCCCCTCTGCTCCGGGGGCCAGCTGATCTCCCATGCATGTAGGCCCCTCGAGTAGCCCCTCTTACCCCGGGCCCCGTCAGTGCTCTGGGCCACGGGCCGCCGCTCAAAGCACAACCCCCCTTCCTTGACCACGATGTTCTCAGAGCAGTCCTTAGGGTTCCAGCCGTGGCGCCGTTGGACCCCCAGGTCAGGAGGAGGAGCGGACAGTAGCTCCTCCAAGCCCTCGGGACAAGAGAGGTCGGGGTACAGGGCTTGAGGGGCAGGGGTGCTGCTGCTGCCCCCTGCCAGGGCCGTCTGGCCCATGGAGGTGAGGAATTGGGGGGCTCTCTCACGGTCCTGTAGGGGAGTCTCTCTTTGGAAGGCTGAGCTGCGGTTCGGGACTGGCCTGGAGGGGAGTTGGGAGAGAAGGCGGTGTAAGCACGGAATAATGGTGGGGGCTCCTCACCCAGGCGCCCCCTCCTTTGCCCCACGTCACCCACCGGCCTGCTGCTCCTCCCTCGCCGCTGCCCTGTCACCCTGCCTTCACCACGTCCGTGCTGGGTCGCCCCTTCGAGCCTCACCATGAGCCGTCCCGTTGGCCCGACCCGATCCCGGGCTACCGCCCCGGAACCTCTCGTGGCTTCGCGGCCCAGGACGTCGCCGAGTCTCAGGAAGGGCCGGGGCGAGAGGAGCCGGGGCGCGCCGGCCGCTTCCGCCCCCAGCTCCGCCCCCAGGCCGCGCCGGCCTCAGGCCCCGCCCCTCGGCCCGGCTCCCCGGGACGGTTAACCCTCTCGTCGCCGCCCGGCCCAGCCCGCCCCGCGGGGGCCCCTCTCGGGCGGTTGGCTCTTCACGCGGGTCACGACCGCGGAGGGCAAGCCCGGCCTCGAGGCCCCTTCCGCGACGCCCACCTGGGGTCACCTCTGGGAACCACTCTTGCCCGGGACCACCGAGGCCCCCGCCCCCGCTAGAACGTCCAGCCCCAGCCCTTGTGGCTACTTAGGGAGTGAACCAACAGGTGCATGATCTTTCTTTAACTCTGCCTATCAAATTAATAAATAAATCTTAATAAAATAGAGGTGACAAAAAGAGGACAAGTGAGGGCAAGATCAAGAGCGTGGGAGACTTCAGTGGTGACTTCAGTTTTCAGCACATGTTTTTGAGAGGCCCAAGCAACCACCAGAAGGAACCACCCAGAACACTCTAGAGGCAGAAGGAGAGCCTGGGCTGGAGCTGCAAATCTGGGGTCTGTGGCAGCCTTTAGTTAGGAGCTGAGCTTAGAATCTGAGGGCGTGGGGGGGAGTGTCTATGGTGAGAAGATGGCCCAGGAAGACATAATGTGGCAGCAAAGTCAGTTTGGGTTACAAGATTTTTCCTGGGGGGGAATTTTTTTTTTTTTTTTTTTTTTTTTTTTTATCAGAGGTCATTGGCAACCTCGCTGAGAACACAAGGTGCAGAGGGTAGGAGGTGGAACTCCTGGCTGAGGGGCGGGACTATCACTTTATGTGTGCCAGGAGCTGTGTACAAGCTCCACATTTTGGGGGGAATAGAGTGGGGAGGGGTAAGGTGACTACCCTTGATAATCCTTCCTTAGCCCATCTCTCAGGCATGTTAGTTTGTTTCAATAAAAGTCAATATGTGACAGTATATGCTTGTACATGGATGTACAGAATAGCATGTTATAATCTTTAAATGAGGAAAAAGACTGCTCAAGTGAAAGATGTGAACCTCAGCTCTTGTCATCTACCCAACTTGGATATATATATATATATATATAATTTATTTTATTTATTTGAAAGGCAGAGTGAAAGAGAGACACACACAGACACAGATCTTTCATCTGCTGGTTCACTCCCCAAATGACCACAATGGCCAGGATTGGGCCAGGCTGAAGCCAGGAGCCTGAAACTCCATCCGGGTCTCCCACAGGGGTGCAGGGGCCCACGGACTTGGGCCATTTCCATGCTTTCCCAGGTGCAGCATTAGTAGGAAGCTGGATCAGAAGTAAAGGAGCTGGGACTCAGTGAGCCCTCCAATGTGACACATGGGCGTCCCAAGTGATGGCTTACCCTGATGTGCTGCAACGTCCCCAACCTGGATATTCTTGCCAGTGTGTGAGGACGGTAATAATGACACCGTGACTGTGGAGAGCAGCCAGTGAGAAGCATTAGTGCAGGAGCCATGTGATAACCTCAAGGAGGAAGGCTTGGGGACAGAGCTCAAGACTAAGCCATGGCTGGCTCGAGTTCAGCTTGAGACATTAACTGCACCTGCTCAACTGCTGCTGGTCATTTAAAATACGTGGTTGTTTAACACACTCCATCAGTTGTTGCCACGGGATTTTGAGCTGCTCCAACCTTTGTTGATGATAGCTTCATAATGTTACAAGTAATTTTAACTTTTTTTTTCTTTTTTAGTCAAGATGTAACAGTACACTAAAATTACTTAGTGAATTTTTTCCTGTGTATACACTTGTGTGGCTGCCACCAAAAAGGTCATGATCAAGATCAGGAACTTTTCCATCATCCCAGGAGGCTCCTTCTTGTTCTTTCCCTGATGCCACACCCCAAGAGTAACTCCTGTTTGACCCCTATCCCTATAGATCAGATTTGGCTTTTATTCAATTTCATAACAATGAAACCATGTAGTACTCGAATGTATTCTTCTGTGACTTATTCTTCTCAGCATTGCCTGAGTCATTCATGTTGTTGCGTGGAGTAGCAGCTTGTTAATTTCATGGTTGTACAGTATTCATTCCATCATCTGAATCTCCCACAGTTGATCTTTTCTGCAGATGGACTCTGTTTCCAGTCTTTAGCTATTATAAAGGAAGCTACGATGTTGCATCAGGTACAAGTCTCTGGGTGGACCTGCTCAGGCATTTGTGGTTGGGTACAAACCCATGCGCAGAGTTGCTGGGTTATTAGGGAACTGCAATGTATGCATTTAATCATGTGATTTTCACATTTCTCCCTGTAGAGAAATTCTATTCAGAAATCAAATCCTTCAGGTATTTTGTAGTACAGAGCACTTTACCAAATTTATGAAGATTTGAACTGCTCTTCTGTTCCTGTTCATAGCTTGTCTTCTGAGAGATAATTTTTTTTCAGTTCCTCAGGATTTTTTTTTTTCATTAAAGATATATTTATTTATTTGAAGGGCAAAGTGACAGAGTAAGAGACAGAGGGAGATGGGGGTGCTTTAATGGGCCGGGTTGGGCCAGGCAAAACCAGGAGCTAGGAACTCCATCTGGGTTCTCCCACATGGATGGCAGGAAACCAAGCATGTGGGCCATCTTCCAGTGCTTTTTCAGGTGCTTTGACAGGGAGCTGGATCAGAATTAGAGCGCCCTGGTCTTGAACCGGCATTTGGACATGTGACGCTGGCGTTGCAGGCATTGGCTTAAGCTGTTGAGCCACCACGCCAGCCTCCCTCAAGCTTTTAGTGTTTCTTCCTCAATGATGTCCACAGAGCCACCACAACCCACTTGCCAGGCCACTTGTGTCGCTCCCCCTCTTCGTGGAGGAACGACACTAAACCCTGCCTAGGCTTCATATCCGAGTCACGGCACCATTATGTCGCTCCCCCTCTTCGTGGAGGAACGACACAGGACCCTGCGCTGTTCTTTCGTCTGCTCGGCCCTCCCCGGGTTTGCTGCTGGTTCTTCCCGGGTTGGCTACTATCCCTTCCACCTCCGTGGAAGGGCAGTTCCCCCTGGCCGCATTCCCCACTTCCGCAGGGGAGCGGCACACCGCCGGCCGGCTCTCTCGGGGGCTGCACGGGTGTTCCTTCAGCTAGATGTTCCCCATAGATGTTCCCGGTGCATGCCGTCTCTCTCCTCCTTTATAGTCCTCCTCCGCCAATCCCAACTCGGCTGAGTACGCTGCTCTCCAATCAGGAGCAAGTCCTACAGTTAATTGGTTGAACTGGAGGCAGCTGTGCGGAAGCTGTTTACTTCTCTCCCAGCGCCATATTGTGGGAGAGCAGATGCATAGAATAAGTCCTAATTCGAGTAACTTAGTCTAGTCCGGATTGCTCCCCACAACTTGAACCGTGAATTTCAGTTCTTCGTCAACTGAAACCCTGAAAATCCTTACCATATTCTTTTCAACACACATTGACTGTCTGTCTTTACTGCTTCCACTGCTTGTTTAATACAAACGGTGCAGCTGGCAATATTAAAGGACTTCTGACTCATCACCACGTCAAGACTAGGGTTGGCATCCATAACTCTGGGAATCAGGGCAGGACCGCAGGGTGCCAGTTTTGTTGGGCAGCTTAAGATGCCACTTACCACGCCAGCTTTCCCTGCCAGAAAGAACACTGACTCAAATCCTGGCTGCTCCTCTTCGGCTTCCAATCCAGCTCCCTGCTAATGTGCCTGGGAAAGCACTGGAAGTTGCCCAGGGACCTGGGCCCCTGCACCCACGCGGGAGACCTGGATGAAATTCCTGGCTCCTGGCTTTGGTCTGGCCCAGTCCTGGCCATTGCACCCATCTGGGAAGTGAACCAGCAGGTGGAAGTTCTCTTTCTCTGTTTCTGCTCTGTCACTCTGCCTTTTAAGTATTAAAAAAAAAAAAAAAGTAGCATCTCAGCCTCGTGTTTGTGGTTTTGAAACAGCAAATCATGCTTCGGTCAGCGGAGTGATGGAAGCGGTGATGTTGGGGGAAGAAAACATCCCCAGTGCCTTTATGAGCATATTCATCAGTGTGTGGTCCTTCCTGGGCTTCTAGAATGAAGAGCCTTGGAACTCAATCAGGGAGAGTGCTGCAGCCACCCACGACTCTGCACTTGACTGCTAGAGCTGGGGCAGCTTCCCCTCCCCATCAAGGGGCACCAGGATTTGTAGCCCTGTAGAACTCCACTGCCACTGCATAGGGCACAGTGGGTAGGGCAGGCACTCGCGAGGTCACCGATCGCTTCTGTTCTGTTTTTTAGTTTGGAAATGGTGATACATTTGGAGCTGCCTCCTCCACTGGGAAGACCCCAGCCTCCCTGCATTCTGGAAGAGAGTCCTTTCGCAGTAATCCTAAGAGCTCAGGCTGGATTTTGCTACCGGGTCCTCCACCGTGGCGGCCTCACCAGCAGTTTCCACATCGTTGAGGTTGAAGTGGTTTCTAAAACTGTTGTGTCACCTGGGGCGGGGTTTGAAATGGGTCCACCCTAAGGCCTCTTCTCTGGCCAGAGGTTGCAACTGTGACTTGAGGAGAAGAGCTCCCCGCTCCATTTACAAAATGTTACCACGTATTGGCATGGTTAGGCACGTATTTCTGGTTTTTGTTGTCCGGCAGGAAGTCAGTAGCCATTGAGCCTTCGTTAAAGATGAATCACGTGGACTTTGCTGTCACAAGCAGTTGTAACAGAACTTGATGGCCTGGCTTCACAGACTTGAATTTTTTTTAAAAAAGATTTATTTATTTATTTGAAAGGCAGAGTTACAGAGAGGCAGAGAGAGAGAGAGAGGTCTTCCATTTGCTGGTTCACTCCCCAATTGTCCACAAATGCCAGAGCTGGGCTGATCTGAAGCCAGGAGCCTCCTGGGATCTTCCATGCGGGTGCAGGGGCCCAAGGACTTGTGCCATCTTCCGCTGCTTTCCCAGGTGCCCACATGGGATGCCGGCACTGCAGGCGGCTTCTTTACCTGCTGTGCCACTGCGCCAGCCCCACGTCTTGCATCTTGATTCACATGCAGGTTTCCTGAGCCATGTTGATGTGTTGGAGGCAGATACATAGTGCCTCAATTCGTAAGCCACTTTTGTTTCCAATCTCAGAAGGGGTTGCTGTGTCTTCCCTTGGGCGCTGAATGAAGTGGCTGGGCTGCCTCCAGAGGGGTCATGTTATGGGAAAAGGTGGTGTCTTAAAACACTGGAAACCAGTTATAAAACAAGGCCTCATTCTTGCAGGTGGCTGGGGTCTGCGCTGTGGCTTAGCGGGTAAAGCCGCCGCCTGCAGTGCTGGCATCCCACATATGGGCACTGGTTTGCGTCCCGGCCGCTCCAGTTCCGATCCAGCTCCCTGCTATGGCCTGGGAAAGCAGTAGAAGATGTTCCAAGTCCTTGGGCCTCTGCACCCACGTGGGAGACCCAGAAGAAGCTCCTGGCTCCTGGCTTTGGATAGGCACAATTCCGGCTGTGGCTGCTGCTGGCATTTAGGGAGTGAACCAGTAGATGGAACATCTCTCTGTCTGTGTAACTCTGCCTTTCAAATAAATAAATGAATCTTTTTGAAAAAATGAGTTGGCCAGCAAGGTACACATCAAGAGGCCCATACTGGTGCCAAGAGAATTTCTACCCTATTTAACTTAAGCATCATAGAATTCACGTGAAATTCCTCTGGAATGAAACGCCATTATTTCCTTTAATCCTTACAACATACTCCAAGATTTATTTATTTGAATGGCAGAGAGACAGAGAGAGAGGAAAGGTATCTTCTCTCCCCTGGTTCACACCCATGCCGCCTGCGACCACCAGGGCTGGGCCAGGCTGAGGCTAGGAGCCCGGAACTCCATCCTGGACTCCCACGCGGGTGACAGGGGTTCAGGTACTCGGGCCATTATCCTCTGCCTTTGCAGGCGCGTTAGCAGGGAGCAGGGCGGACAGGCCTCGCACTCCGATGGGGGATGCGCACGGACCAGGCAGCGGCTTTATCTGCTGTGCCACAACTCCGCCCTGAGATCCCAATTTTTAATTTCGTGAACTAAGCCTTAGAGAAACTAAACGACTTCTCTAAGAGAACGGAGCTGCCAAATGGCAGCGCCAGCATTCAAACCCCGATCGCCTCACTCCCACATCCACTGGCGGGGAGGAAATGGCGGCTGAGACGACATGTATAAATCTCGGATTCCCAGCAGCCGGCTCCGCCGAGACCGGTGCCAGTTACGTAACCGCGGCGAGGCGCGCACTCCCGCAGCGCGGCCGTCCGTGAGCAGCCGCGGCGCGGCGGGGCGGGCCGGCGGCCGCCGTGCCTCGCGCGCCCCCAAGCGGCCGCCCGCGCTGCCGGTGCTCCGCCCGCCGCCTCCCAGGGTCCGCCCCACCCTGCGCCGCATCTCCCGCCCCCGCCAATCTGCTGCCTCCCCCGGCGCTGACGCATGCGTCTGGAACGTTCTGCCCCGGAACAAAGGCCTCGGGGCGGAAACGGGGGCGTGCGGCAGACAGCCTGTGGAGGCGAGGCCCGCTAAGCCGGCTGCTGAGTGCCTGCTGTAGTCCTGAAACCAGAGGACAGGGGCAGGGACTGAGGCGTGGAGGTTTAACGCTGTCCTCCCGCTCTCTGAATTTCTTTCCATTTTAAAAGACTCCACTGTTTCTCAAAAAATTCTTTCCTTGCCTCCCTCTCCGCCTTGCTAGCGAGCCATTTTGCTGGTCCTATGCAGGGAGGCCTGGGGAGCCTCCACTCTGCCTGCCAGCCATCTCTGAAACCTCACTTGCCAAATGAGATGCTCTTAACTTGCCCTTGCTCTGTGTGTGTGTGTGTGTGTGTGTGTGTGTGTGTGTGTGTGTTTTAATTTATTTGACAGGCAGAGTTAAGACAGTGAGAGAAAGGTCTTCCATCCGTTGGTTCACCCCCCAAGTGGCCGCTGCGGCCGGAGCACAGTGTTGATCTGAAGCCAGGAGCCAGGTGCTTGCGGGTGTGGGGGCCCAAGCACTTGGGCCATCCTCCACTGCACTGCCGGCCACAGCAGAGAGCTGGCCTGGAAGAGGAGCAACCGGGACAGAATCCGGCGCCCCAACCTGGACTAGAACCCGGAGTGCCGGCACTGCAGGCAGAGGATTAGCCTAGTGAGCCACAGCGTCGGCCTGCCATTTGCTGTGTTCTGAAACGCTCACTCAACATGCTCTAGGTTTCCTCACACCATTGACATATGTCAAGGCCTTTCTTTCCTAGCGACTCCTAGTGAATCCTAACTCTGCAAATCAATCTTTGGGGTCAGGGGAAATGAACTGGGTTTATTGCTGTCAAGGCTGTAAAGGGGGATCCTGATTTAGATTAGACAGAAGGAGGAGACAGATTGATTTATTTGAAAGGCAGAGAGCTTGAAGTCTTCCATCTGCTGGTTCACCCCACAAATGGCCACAAGAGCTAGGTCCCAGCCAGGCTGAAGGCAGAGCCAGGAACTCCACCTGGGTCTCTCACATGGGTGGCAGGGACCCAGCACTTGGGCCCTCCTCCGTTGCCTTCCGAGGCACGTTAGCCGGCAGCAGGATGAGAAGGGGAGTAGTGGGGACGGAACTGGTGCTCCGATGTGGAATGCCAGCCTTGCAAGTGACACCACTTGAGGAAGCACATAGACTTAAGAGTTCCTCTGCAGTGGCCGGCGCCGTGGCTCAAAAGGCTAATCCTCCACCTTGCAGCGCCGGCACACCGGGTTCTAGTCCCGGTCGGGGTGCCAGATTCTGTCCCGGTTGCGCCTCTTCCAGGCCAGCTCTCTGCTGTGGCCAGGGAGTGCAGTGGAGGATGGCCCAAGTGCTTGGGCCCTGCACCCACATGGGAGACCAGGAAAAGCACCTGGCTCCTGCCATCGGATCAGTGTGATGCGCTGGCGGCAGCACGCCAGCTGCGGCGGCCATTGGAGGGTGAACCAACGGCAAAGGAAGACCTTTCTCTCTGTCTATCTCTCACTGTCCACTCTGCCTGTCAAAAAAAAAAAAAAAAAAAAAGTCCCTCTGCATGCGTTTCTGTATTCTGTGCATCTTCACGTGGGTTATTAGAATTGGAGCACTGGACCAGCCACTGGAGGAAGGACATCCAGGACTTTGTGGAGCAGCTCTCATGACAAGGTGTAGAGTCAGGCCTTGCCAACCTTCACTGGCTCCCTCCGCACAGCATTCAGGACAAAGTCCAGATTCCTCAGTCGGTGCCAACTCTGCGTTCTTCCAGCTCCTACCTCATTCCCCCCATCACACCTGCTGTTCAGCCAGCAGAGCCACCTGCTCTGTTGATGAGCAACTTAATATGTTATCCCTCTTAGTATTTTTTTGTTTGTTTGTTCTACTTAATACTTTTGGTTGAATACTGTAATCAATACACAATTATTCTTAAGTGCTGAAACTTAACTGAAAAGTGGTCGCTGTTAAATATAAGAGTCGGAATAAGAGAGGGAAGAGATGTGCAATTCGGGACATGCTCAAGCTGACTTACCTCAAACGGTAGAGTTAGAAACATACCAGGGGATTCGAATTCAATCCCATCAATGTGGCATGTACCAATGCCATCTCTCTAGTCCCAGTGATCAATTTCTGTTCACAATTGATCACAATGATAGGACTAAGAACCAAAGGGATCATATAAACAAGAATAGTGTCTGCAAATACTAGCTGATAGAATAAAAAAAGGGAGAGAACGATCCAACATGGGAAGTGAGATACGCAGCAGACCCATAGAATGGCAGATGTCCTAAACAGCACTCTGGCCTCAGAATCAGCCCTTAAGGCATGCAGATCCAGCTGAAAAGCCCAAGAGAGTATTTCAGGCATGGAAAACCAAGACACTCGGGGGGGGGGGGGCACCTAAATGAAAGATCTCCGTGAGTGAGATCCCAGTGGAAAGAACGGGTCATCAAAGAACCTGCTGTTCAGCCAGCAGAGCCACCTGCTCTCCTTGCACAGGCACTGAGCTCTTCCTCCTCCACGCCTTTCTCCAGGTGCTCCCTCTGTGTGGATTCTGCCTCAAAGGCATGCTATTTGGTACATAACGCATGCCATAAAATTATTCCCTGGTACTTTGTAAAAGCTCTGGAGTATGAGGCATCATGATAACATCTGTCTCAATGCATTGGATTACTTGATTTTCTTTTTAGAAAGATTTAAATATTTGAAAGAATTTCAGAGATGGAGAGAGAGAGAGGGAGCGTCCATCTGTTGGTTCACTCTCCAGCCTGACCAGGCCGAAGCCAGGAGTCAGGAGGTTCATCTGGGTGTCCCATGTGGCGGCAGAGGCTCAAACACTTGGGCTATATTCTGCTGCTTTTCCATGGCCATTAGCAGGGAGCTGGATTGAAAGTGCAGCAGCTGGGACTCAAACCGGAGCCCATATGGATGCTGGCGTCACAGGCAGGGGCTTTACCCACCATGCTCCAACACCAGCCCCAGAATACTTGATATTCACCCCTCCCACTGGCATGTAAGCACCTTGAAGATGCACCCGGCACTGGCCCAGAGCAAACACTCAGCAAGAGTATGGTAAAGGCACCTCCCACTCCTCACAGCACGCCTTTCCCTCTCACCTCCTGTGTCTTCCTCTGTCTTCCCTTGGATTGCATCAAACCACACACAGAATTTCCTTTTCTCCACATTCCAGCAACACAGTCCCTTGCATTTGCACTGCACTTCGGACTGCTTTCATATTTCATTTTCTTTTTCCTCACAATAACCCAGTACTGAGGAAACCCATGCAGGAGGTGGGGAGAGACAGGGAAATGTTTATGAAATACCAACTAAGTGCAAGGCAATTTACCCGCATTATTTATTTTAATCCACTAACTACCGTTTGAGGTGACTATCCTAAAAATATATATATGCACTTGAGAGGCAGACAGAGACACCTCCCATCTGCTGGTTCACTTCCCAGATATGTGCAGCAACACAGTAGGGGCTCAAACTGGGACCAGAGAACTCAATCCAAGGTCTCTCACATGGTAGCGGGAGCCCAGTTACTGACCTGTTATTTATTTGTGAGGCTGAGAGAGACAGAGACAGACAGACAGACAGACAAAGAGCTCACAGACACTGATTTGCTTCCCAAATATCTGGAACTAAATTCAGGTCTCTCATATGGATGGGAGGAACCCACTTGAGCCATTGCCTGTGGCCTCCCAGGGTCCACAGTAGCAGGAAGCTGGAGTCAGTAGCCAGAGCTGGGACACACACCAGGTAATCTGATGTGGGGTGTGGGCATCCTGACAGCGAGGCAGATGCCTGCCGCCCATTTCATGAATGCGGAAATTAGATTTTGGTGAAATTATTCAACTTGCTGAAGAACACACAGTTAGCAAGTGATAGAACTGGATGTTGAACCCAGTGTCTCTTCCTTTAAACCCCTGCTACTTTCATGAGGCCAAGTGAACAAGCTTTGTCTGTTAGGTATATTCCTCCAAGCTAGATTGGGCATGGGGGAATTATTTCCTAATTTTCAGCCTACCACGTTACATATGAAGGTAGCTCAAAAAGCTCATGGAGAAAGGGAATTAAAAGATAAGTTGGGGTGGTCGTTATAAGACACTGCTTGGGGCACAGCATCCCCTACCTGTTGAGGTTCGAGTCCCAGCTCCACTTCTGAGTCCCACTTCCTGATAATGCAGGCGACAGCTCAAGTAGCTGGGTCCCTGCCACCATGGTAGGGCTCTGGACTCCTGGCTTCAGCCTGGCCCAGCTGTGGCTCATGTGGACTTTAAGGGAGCAGACAAGCAGATGAAAGATCTGTCTCTGTCTCTTTTTCTTTCCTTCCTTCCTTCTTCTTTCTTCTTCACAAAAGTTTAACAAGTCTGTCAAGTAAAAATAAATTACAAACTTGAAATTTTTCGTGCAAAAACATCTTGAAGTCCATGTATAGTTTTTTTCATAATACATGTTTTTGAAGACCCCTCTATGCATGGATTTCATATTTTTTAGAATATCTATTTACTTCTTTAAAGGCAGCATCCCAGAGAGAGGGAGGGAGAGACTGAGAGAGAGATTGTCTATCTGCTGGTTCACTCCTCAAATGGCAGCAACAGCCAGGCCGAAGTCAGGAGTCTTAAACTCCATCTGAGTCTCCCACTGAACGGCAGGGGCCCAAGCACTTGCCCATCTTCTGTTGTTTTCACAGGCACATCAGCAGAGAGTTGAATGGGGAGTGAACATCTGGGGCTCGAACCAGCAACACGTGGGCTGCCAGGATTGCAGGTGGCAGTTTAACTCACTGCACCACAATATTGGCCCTGGATTTCAATGTTTCTGAACCAAAATAAAAATCTTGTTTAAAAAAATTTATTTTTACTTGTAGGTCAAGTTACAGAAAGACATGGACAGACAGAGATCTTCCACCATTTCACTCCCCAAATGACTGCAATGGCCAGCCATTGGGCCAGGCTGAAGCTGGCAGCCAAGAGCTTCTTTCTTTCTTTCTTTCTTTCTTTCTTTCTTTCTTTCTTTCTTTCTTTCTTTCTTTCTTTCTTTCACAGGCAGAGTTAATTAGAGAGGGAGAGAGAGAGGGAGAAAGGTCTTCCTTCCATTGGTTCACCACCCAAATGGCCGCCATGGCTGGCGCACTGGGCCAATCCGAAGCCAGGAGCCAGGTGCTTCCTCCTGGTCTCCCATGGGGTGCAGGACCCAAGCACTTGGGCCATCCTCCACTGCCTTCCCAGGCCACAGCGGAGAGCTGGACTGGAAGAGGAGCAACCGGGACAGAATCCAGCATCCCGACCGGGACTAGAACCCGGTGTACCGGTGCCGCAGGCAGAGGATTAGCCAAGTGAGGCGTGGCGCCGGCCAGGAGCTTCTTTCAAGTCTCCCATGTGGGTTGTAGGGGCCCAAGCATTTGGTTGGTCTTCTGCTGCTTTTCCTGGGCCATTAGCAGGGAGCTGGATCAGAAGTAGAGCACCAGGACACCCATATGAGATACTGGTGTCATATGCAGTAGGCTTCTTACTACACCAGAATGCCAGCACCTTGTTGTTGTTTTTACAAAAGATTTATTTATTTGAAAGGCAGAGAGGAAGATACAGAGATATTTCATCTGCTGGCTCACTCCTCAAGAGCCCTCAAGAGCCAGGGCTGGGCTAGGAAGAAGCAGGAGGAAGAAATTCCATCCAGGTCTCCCATGAGGGTGGTTGGAACCCAAGTACTTGGGGCATCAATTGGTGCCTCCCAGGCAGGTTAACAGGAAGTTCTATCTGAAGTACAGAGTATCTGAGACTCTGGAATTGGCATTCCAGTTTGGGATGCGGGTGTCCCAGGGGGAGACTTAACCCATTGCACCACAAGGCCTGCCCCTAAACTTCTTCAAGTACTCTTGTAAAATCTGTCATGTAGAATTGCCTTATTACCTAATTGTCTTACTTATGTTACACAAGACTGGTAATATCCTCCTTTCCCAAGGCCAGAATTACATAACAAATATCAACCTCCTTGACCTTTGGTGTCCTCTTCTTTCAAGTATCTCATGGGGCTGTTTCAGAAGCTAAATTATCACTTATAGAGGCACAATCTATTTCCTTCCTTCCTCCCTTCCTTCCTTCCTTCCTTCCTTCCTTTCTCTTTCTTTCTTTCTTTCTTTCTTTCTTTCTTTCTTTCTTTCTTTCTTTCTTTCTTTCTTTCTCTCTTTCTCTCTTTCTCTCTTTCTCTCTTTCTCTCTTTCTCTCTCTCTTTCTTTCTTTCTTTCTTTCTTTCTTTCTTTCTTTCTTTCTTTCTTTCTTTCTTTCTTTCTGATTTATTTGTTTATTTGAAAGGTAGAATTACAGAGAGGCAAAGGCAGAGAGATAGATATTTTCCATCTGCTGGTTCACTCCCCAAATGGCCACAGCAGCGGGAGCTGCGCCCATCTGGAGCCAGGAGCCAGGAGCTTCTTCCCAGCCTCCCATGCCAGTGCAAGGGTCCAAGAAATGTGGGCCATCTTCTACTGCTTTCCCTAGCCATAGCAGAGAGCTGGCTAGAAAGTGGAGCAGCCGGGACCTGAACCCATGCCCACATGGGATGCCCACACTGCAAGGGGCGGCTTTACCTGCTACCCACAGTGCTGTCTCCCACCAACTTTCTAGAAACATTTACTACATCTCAGCCTACAGCATTTTCCTCTTCAACTCATCACACAAGCTTGAGTGCCTGGACTCAGCAGTCATTACTGATTACATAGCATTGGACTAGGAATATTTTAACGGGCAGTTGTTGGATTTTCCCTCTTCCTATCCCTCAAAAAGGTTGCATCAAACTAGTCCAGGATAACTCATACTGGATCCCTGCCAGTTACTATAGTTTCTGCAAGGAGAAGACACCTTTAGGTTAAGTTGTTAGCAAAGATCTGCCAAAATACTCTACTCAGGTTAATTTTGGGGCCTGGGATCCTTGCGCCGCCTTCCAAAGGTCTACCTAAAAATAACCACTGCCCAGGCCTATGCGGGAAGAAGGCCCCTTATTTTGGTGTTTCTTGTTTCTCCTAGCGCACTCCTTTTCTCCTTTTGCTTCCGAGGGTGGGGGATGAGTCTCTTCTGAACTCACACCTTCGCACTGAAGGTACCCAGGTCTGATTAATGTTTCGGGTGACGCAAGTCTACCCAGCCTCACTCTCCTCCTCTCCGCACTCCTCTAAGCCCTGACGCCATGTCCGTGCCTCATCCGGGTTCCTGCTCGGGAAGGTGGCCCCGTAACCAGGCAACCACTGCCCCGCCTCCTCCGAGGCGGGCGCGCAGTTCCGTTGGTCCCCGCGCTCGCTCCGGGCGGTTGGAGGCTGCTGCGCCCCACCTCCTTTGCCATAGCAGCAGTACACAAGCCCTCAGCCAGTCTTACTACAGAGCCCCTTCCCTCTCGGGACCGAGACCCTCTCTAAACTGCTTTTAGTTGAGCACAGCCGGGTCTGTGCCCTTTGTGGGAGACTGCGTCAGGGGCCCGGGGAATGTTCCAGAGCAACCCGGGAAATGGAGCTGAGGCGGGGCAGTTAGAAGAAAGGAATGGGTGGGGGTTAGGGACGGAGGGGGACAGTGCAGGGAGGAGACCGGGTGGGTGGGGGATTGAAGGAGAATGGGTTTTAAGGGGAGAGGGAAGTCCCGGAAGCAGGAGAAAGGGCCGTGGACCAGAGCTGGGGCCACCGCCAGGGCCGGAGGGGCCCTGAGGTCTGGCAGGGCGTTGAGGGGAGCGCGGCCCTCAGCAGAAGTGGAGACCTGGGCCAACATGAGATGTTCTCACGGAGGGGGGAAGCAGCCTCGTCGGGAGGTCCGGGGTGGGCCTGCCAATGGAGGCGACCGCACTGAGGAGACCTCCTTCCTCAGGGCGAGGAGCTGGGTCTGACGCCAGAGCCCGCGGGCGGAAAGAAAGATGTCGGACGAAGAGGATCTGGAAGACTTTGAGCCAGATCAGGACGACCTTGACAAAGAGGACGATGAGAAGGAGACGGAGGAATGGGAGGACTACAGGAAAGAGGGGGAAGAATTCTCCGAGGAAGTGAGAGCGTGGACAGGGAGGGGTCGGAGAGCAAGGGGCTGCGGCGGGAGGGCTGCCTCACTCGGCCGCTTGCTCCCGCAGTGGCTGCCCACCCCGCTCACGGAGGCCGTGGTGAAGGAAGGGCTGTCTTTGCTCTGTAAGACTGGCAGCGGGCTATCTCATGCTTACGTCAAGCTGGAGGTTAAAGAGAGGTGCGTAGGGTCCCCGTCTCTTCCGCCCTCATGCCTGCTGTTTGGGCTGGGAATTTGATCGCCATCATCCTGGCTTCGTGGGGAGGCAAGGACAGAATTTATTTGTCAACAGCTCTGAGACTCCCTGTGTTGCAGCTGCCCTGGGAAATTGGAGACTGAGAGTGTGTGTATGTGTGTGTGTGTGGGGGGGGTTGCTTGCTGACTCCCTCACTTGCCCTTCAGCGCGTGGGTTCTCTGCCCTTCACAGATAGAAGGTTTCTGCTGTTAAGAACCTGCTGGCTTGGGGCTGACATTGTGCTGTAGAGCATTAAGCCTCTGCCTGCCATGCTGGCATTCCATAGGGGCGCCTGTTGGAGACCTGCTGCTCCACTTCCAATCCAGCTGCCTGCTGATGCGCCTGGGAAAGCAGCAGAAGACGGCCCAAGTGCTTGGGTTCCTGCCAAAACATGGGGGACCCAGGAGAAACACTGGGCTCCTGTCTTCAATCTGGCCTAGACCCAACTGTTGCAGACATTTGGAGAATGAACCAGTGGAAGGAAGGAAGCGCTCTCTCTCTCTCTCTCTCTTTTTCTTCTCCTCCTTCTCTGCATTTCAAGTAAATAAAATATTAAAAAAAAAAAAAAACACTGGCATTGGTGTTGTGGTGCATGGGCATCCCATGTCGAGTGCCCGTTCGAATCCTGCCTGTTCTGCTTCCAAGCTTCCAATCCACTTCCTGCTAATATACGTGGGAAGGGAGCAGTTGAGGCCAAGTACTTGGGCCCCTGCCACCCACGTGGAAGACCAGGATGAAATTCCTGGCTCCTGGCTTTAGCCTAGCCCAGACCTGGCTGTTGCCGACACTTGAGGAGAAATAAAGATCTCTCTCCTCTCGCTCTCTCACCTGCCTTCTCTCCCCCACCACACCTCTCATCTGTTACCTGTCCTTCTTCCCATTATAAGCCCTTTCTGTATGGCCCTCTGCTTTAGCACCTCTGACAGTCACCTGGGTTCTTACCTCTAACTCTGGCTGTTCTGCCATCTCTCTCTCTCTCTCTCTCTCAATTTATTTAGTTGAAAAAATTACACAGAGAAGGAGAGTTCTTCCATCCACTGGTTCCCTCCCCAGTTGGCTGCAATGGCTGGAGCTGCGCTGATCCGAAGCCAGGAGCAGGAGCTTCTTCTGAGTCTCCCATGCGGGTGCAGGGGCCCAAGGACTTGGGCCATCTTCTACTGCTTTCCCAGGCCATAGCAGAGAGCTGGATGGGAAGAGGAGCAGCCGGGTCTCAAACCGGCACCCATATGGGATGCCAGCACTGCAGGCGGTGGCTTTACCCCCTCCCACAGTGCCGGCCCCTCCCCCATCTCCTTTTGTGCCTCCTAGAGACCTAACAGACATCGCCTTGCTGCGGTCCTACATCCATCTGCGCTATGTGGATGTTTCTGAGAATCACCTGACAGACCTGTCTCCACTCAATTACCTCACTCACCTGCTTTGGCTCAAGGCTGACAGCAATCAGCTGCGGAGCGTCCAGCTGAATGAACTGCCCTACCTGCAGATTGCCAGTTTTGCCTATAACCAGATCATTGATACTGAGGGCATTGCTCATCCTCGTCTGAGAAGCCTGGATCTCAAAGGTGGGTCCTTAGGACGGGCTCCACAGACTCTTCCTAGCCTGAAGCCAACAGGAGTGGGCAGTGCAGTCCTTGCCTGGGCCGTGCATTCTTTATTATGACTCATGTCATTGTCACTTTTTTTTTTTAAAGATTGATGTATTTATTTGAAAGGCAAGTTACAGAGAGTCAGAGTCAGAGAGAGGGAGAGAGAGAGAGAAAGTCTTCCATCCGCTGGTTCACTCCCCAAATAGCCTCAACGGACAGAGCTGGGCTGACTCAAAGCCAGGAGCCAGGAGCTGCTTCTGGGTCTCCCATGTGGATGCAGAGGCCCAAGGACTTGGGCTGTCTTCTACTGCTTTTCCAGGCCATAGCAGAGAGCTGGATTGGAAGTGGAACACCCAGGGCTCAAACCAGTGCCCATATGGGATGCAGGCACCACAGGAGGCAGCTTTATCCAATAATGCCACAGCGTTGGCCTCGTCCTTGTGACTCCCCTACATGCTAGAGATACAGCAGTTAACAGAATAAGGAAAATCCTTATTCTTATGTAATTACATTGTAGCTGGGAGAGACAATTAGGGAACACAATAAGTAAACTTATACAGTATGTTAAAAGGACAAAGGTGCTATGGAAGAAATAGATCAGGGTAAGGGGAGTTGGGGCATAGGTAGTAATTTCCAACAGGTTGATCAGGACAAACATCATTTAGGAGATGTCATTTGAGCAAAGACTTGAAGGAGGAGAGGGAGGGAGATAAATAGACTGCTGGGGCCTGTGCTGTGCTACAGCAGGTTAGGCTGCAGCCCGCAGTGCTGGCATTCCATAGGAACGACAGTTTGAGTCCTGGCTGCTCCATTTCTGATCCTTCTTCCTGCTAATGCACCTGGAAAAGCAGCAGAAGATGGCTCAAGTATGTAGGCCTCTGCTATCCACATGGGAGACCCAGATGGAGTTCCAGATTACTGGCTTTGGCCTGGCCCAGCCGTAGTCATTGTGGCCATTTGGGGAGTGAACAGGTTGATGGAAGATCTCTCTCTGTCTCTCTCTGTAATTCTGCCTTTCAAATATATATATGAGAGAGAGAGAAAAGGATATATATTGTTAGGGTACATTGTTCACTCCTCAAAGGTTTAGGTGGACATGTCCATCAGATCCTTAGACTATCAGGCCACTTGCCCCAGGCCTCTGGAGGTGTTAGTCCGGAGCCGGCCTCACGTCACTGTCTGCCTACATTAGAGGGAAGGGATAAGTCTGGAGCTCCCAGCCTGAGTGTCAGAGTTGCCCTTTGAGCTCTTGATGCTCTTTTCCTCCCTAGGGAACCGCATTCAGATGGTGACAGGTCTGGACCCCCAAAAACTAAACAGCCTGCACACATTGGAGCTTCGGGGAAACCAGCTGAAAAGCACCCTGGGAATCAACCTTCCCAAGCTGAAGAACCTCTACCTGGTAGCTCCCTGGGTCACAGGAAGGTGCAGGGAAAAGGGCACCATCCTGGGGGTCAGGATGCCTGGTTTTTAGTGGACTCAGCTACTTACTCCGTCACCCTCATGGTGGCTGGCATCTTTCCTGAGCCCTTCCGGGTGCTGGGGAGAAACCAAGTTCAAACAGGAAAGTGCTTGCCACCTAGCAGGGCTGATAATACAAAATGTGTGGATTACATAGGGATGATTTGCACTGATACAGGTGGAAGCAAAATGTGCCATAACTGAGGTACATACATCAGGCTAAGGAGGCCACTTCAGTGGTTCATGTTTTGTACTCTTGAGCTTCTCTTTATTCTCAAATGGTTCTGAAGCCATCTCAGTGAGGGAGTGGGGGCCCTGGGCCCTGGGTGGAAGAGTCTCCTCCTTAATCTGGCTTGGTGGGGTGAGGAGTAGGGCATTACTGCTGACTTCCTCTGGGTTGCCAGCTTCTGCACCTCTTTCCTCTGTATACCCCGACTCTTCTCTTCCACCCTCCCCCCCACTTTCATTTCTTCTTTTCCTTGATCTCTTTCTGACTTCCCTGTTCCTGCTCCCCTCTCCTGGTCTCCTGTGTCCTGGGAATCTAGGCCCAGAACATGCTGAAGAAGGTAGAAGGACTGGAGAACCTAACCAATCTCACCACACTGCATCTTCGAGACAACCAGATTGAAACTCTGAGTGGCTTCTCCAAGGAGATGAAGTCGCTGCAATATCTCAACCTGAGGTAAGCACCCTCCATGCCCACCATGCTCCTGCCCCTGACCAGAAGCTTTGGAGTCTGTGTCCTTCCCTGGACTCAATCCTGCAATCCTTGGCCACGACCAGGTCCTCATTTCACCCTCCCTCCTGCCTGATCCTCACCCCTATTCTTACTTCTGCATTTGGCCCCGAATGCAATACTAACACCTTTATAGTTTATGGCCCCTGAATCCTTATTCATTTGATCTACAATTATTGAGAATGTGCTTAGTGCCAGATCTCATGCTATGTTTTGTTTTTA